AGCTTTTCAGGAAAACTCATTAGTGCTCTGAGTTGGAATTCCTAGGAATTCCAAGTCCTCCTGGCTATAAACTTGGAATTTCTGGGAATTTCTGGGAATTTTTGGGAATATCTGGGAATTTCTAGGTTTTTAGAACCAGAGTTGTTATGGTTGGGAATTCCTAACAATTCCCAGTCCGAATTTACTATGAAAATTCACATTGACCTTATGACACTTGACTCAAAACGGAAATTACTTATTCGACGATTGTGGAATCATAGCTAATCATTACACGCAACAAGTAAATTTCGAGAAGAATTATTCAAATCTAGGCATAGATACATAGGGGAAGTTACGGGAAATGACGTTTTCTTGATTACAGTCAATGCTAGTCTTTTTTATAATGTTCGTCAAAGAGGAGCGATATATCCCAAAAATCGCAAGTCCTCAAAAATTGAGCCTAGGCAAATCGTTATTTCAAGCTCAAACCTTAATAGAACTCAAACTTTGGCTGCATTTTTCTTTATCGTTGCTGACTTGTTTTTCCTTTTTCTTTATTCGTGCGCAGTATCATTTCTTTTAATGATTAGAACCAGCAAAATATAAATGGTTTTATGTTCTCTTGATGGAACCCTATACCACGTGAATCGTCAAAAAAGTTTCATGCTTGCGAAGCATGCGGTTGGGTTGTCAGGGTAAGCAAGCCAACACAAGTTCTACCCAGAATTCTCTACTGCTAAAAAAATGGGATAGAAGAGAGGCAATGAGGCCTCCTCGTGCCTTTGGCTAGAGTTGGCCTCTCTAGCCTGCTGAGTTCTCAGCTCAGGGCTATTTTGCAAAGGAATGTTTCGGCAGCAGAACCAGGAAGTTTTTACTACATTTTTCCTCCCGGTATCATTGATGACTCCTCGGGTTATCGAGAGGTCAAGAGAGAAAGTTCCAGGATGAAGGCATTCACCGACGATACTCTTTCTGAGTACTAGTCTCGAAGTGGATCGCGCCTAAAGAGTGGACCATATTTGGAGTTAGTAGGCAAATGTTAAAAATTACGACATTTCCATGTGACTTCAGCCTTAAAAACAGCACTGCATAAAGATTTCGTGTTCTATAGCGACAAAGTATACCTCTCGGTTTCTAAAAGCTAAAAAAGTTTTTTTTTTTCTGAGACTTACCGCTATTTTCTCTTTGTTGTAACTTAGACAGCGGATATGAATAAGAGAAATTTGATACTACAAGATCATAATGATTGTGACGTGTCTTTGAAAAGAACATGACTTTTCATAGTCACGAAAATGAAC